AGCCTGAACTAAATGGGAGTAAATGGAGGAAACTACTGATTACACTCAAATCTGAATGTCAGTCCATTAACAGCACATCAACACCATAGAAATATAAAAGATCTTAGGCTGTCACAGTAATTAGTAAACAAAATGACATGACATTTACACCCCTCTGCATGCAGATGTAAACAGTCTGACCATGCTGTGTTTTCTACAAAGGAACAGGAAACAGGTTTTGTCAGGTTCATTTTCAGCATTAGCTGGGTGATAAGTTAAGGCTTCTAATTTCTGCTGGGTGATGTGTGCCTGTGTGTTAGATCAATCTAATGTCTTCAGTCACCACACAAACAACACTGATTGCCATTTTCTATCACCGACCAATAAGAATCCTTGGGCAGGACTCCTAACACTACCTTTGCCTGCCTCTGTAAAGTGATCAACATTAGTCACTCTAGATAAGAGCATCTGCCAAATGCCATAAAATGTAAAAAGTGCTAAGAAATACTTAAAGAAATAAAAAAACAAAAATAAACTAAGTGCTGAAAAGACCTGTGTGTGCTTGTTTTAGTGCCAGGTTTGCATTTTGCTTTATTGATATATTTGCAAAGTCTGCAGTATCTTCGCACTGCTGCCTTTTCATTACAGTAAGCAAACTCAGTTCCATCACCAATTGTTAGCTTTTGTTTTGCGGGCATGTCACTAAAACAAGAAATATTAGCAGCCTAATTTTGCTTTAAAAGACAAACAAACATACAAACAAACAAATATATTATCAGCAGTATAAAATCCTCCCCCCCCGGGCGTTATAACTTTTCCCTAACATTTTCTCCTACATTTAACAAACTTTATCTAAATTCCACAACAATTAAATGAGGCAAGTGTAAACAAAAAGCTTCCTAACAGCAAATTATTATATGAAATAGTTATGAACAAGAAAAAGCTACCTAACAACTTATTAAATGAAATAGTTATGAATATTCTGCCTCATGTCTGAGACGTTGTTTTACAATAGTTTTGAGAGTCAGTAAGTTTCTCTACAATAAACCACTTCACATTTCATTTACATTTCAACAATTAAGTTATGTAGAAATTGTGAAAAATCTTTGTAATTATTATGCTTTTCTGGCTACTTAGCACCACAATCATCTAAGCACTAGCCCTATCATAAGAAGTGAGTCTGATCCCCAGCAATGGAAACAAACAGCGTTAACAAAGGGAGTCTGGACTTTCTGCAGCACAGTATATCTGTGATAAGGGGTCTGTGTGTGTGTGTGTGTGTGTGTGTGTGTGTGGTTTAACAGAGATGACCTCTATGTTTATCAGAGGGAGTTTACACACCCAGCCCTGTTTCTGTGTTTAACGGACTCCAGGGAAAGAGCAGTAAGACTGGTCTCTACTAGAGATGTGCATGGATACCAGCACTCGGTTAAACGTTTGAGGTGAAAATGTTTGAATACTAAAATCAGTATTCAGGTATCAGTTACATTTTAAAACCGAAAAGAAAACCTCGTATCTCCATTTTTGTCATTTTTCTGTTTTTGACGTAATTTGGAAATGTCTGTTGTCCTTTACATTGTGTGTAAATTTCATGATAAATGGAGCAAAAGAAATGACCCAAAATGACTTTTGGAAAAAACTCTGGTTCCATTGATTTACATTAAAAGCAAAGTAAGTTTTTTCCTTCTCCTGTAAAGTTACCATTTTGGAGATATGAGGTTTTCTTCAGACAGTGATGTGTTCCTCTGTCAAACAACATGTTGGCACACCGTCCACTACAGAGAAGATATCTTGTGTTTTCTGTTTACACTTTGCATTAACTTGTGTTTCACTTCTGGATCGTTTGTGGATAAACTGTGGCTGCATGCCATTTACACTTTCACTAAAACACCTTGTGTGAATAACGACACCAACACTCGCGACATTGCTGTGTTGCTTTTCCTCCAACCTTGGGTTGGACACTTACGTTGGCCTAGTCTGCAAAAAGGCTCTTGGTTTGAGGAAAATATTAGCCTTGTGCATCCTCCATCTGTTGTTTTCTTGTCAATTCTCACAGAAGCATTTTTGCTCGCATAACTGCATATGAATATCAAAAACAACTTCTCTTTACACTTGTATTAAATGTGGTCAAGATCTGTCTCTGACCGCCTCTGAATGTGGTTCAAATTCAATCACAAAGGGCCTGTTTACACCGTGCATAAACATGAGTTTCATGTTCGGATGGCATCTGGATAAACTTAGGCAAGATTCTGTTTACGCTGTCCAATACAATGAGCCTTCAGTTTGACCAGATGCCAACTGATTGTAATGTTCCCCACATAAAAAGCATGTCAACACATTCGTCGCTTACCACTTTTGTTTACTCCTCTTCCCCAATTAGTAAAACAGTGGATAAGCTTGGCCTGGACACTCCCAGTCTGGAGCGCATGCAAGCCGTCGGTTTGAATCTCACTTCAGCTTCGCAAATCCCCCATCTTTTGTTTCATCATTTGTTCTCTCAGCTGCTGGCCAGCACTCGGCAGACACATTTCTACCGACATAATTGTACACGGATAATGAAAACATATTTCATATAACTCAAGGGTAAACGGAATGTTTTCATTATCCGTTTACAACATCAGAAAAGCCAGGTGTAAACACCCCCAAGACACAGTGTGAGTGGTTTACGATCAAATCACATTCGGAGGTGGTCAGAGATAGATCTTAACCACCTCCAAATGTGATTTGATTGTACACCACTCACAATGCGTCTTGGGGGCGTTTACACCTGGCTTTTTTGATGTGGTTAAGTGAAATCTGACCAGGATCCAATCAACAAAAAGACATGTTAATACAAGGCGTTAACAGGCATAAATGAGTTCTGGGGGTTTTTACACCTGCTTTTTCATGCAGTAAAGTAGAATCTGAATGTGATCCGGTCATGTTGTTGCAAGGTGTGAAAAGGCCCTAGAAGACCATGAGCTCTCACACGAATCCAACATGACACCTGTTAACTTTGTTTGCTTATTAGCTTCTCTGAAGAGGCAACCTCCTTTTCTCATCCAAGAAGAAAATCTAGGGAAGTGCTTTGGCTAAACAAGAAAACCTGTTCCTCTGCATGCTGCTATATTTTCGAGCATCACCAATGCTATAACCTAAAAAGGTAAGCCTACAACCATCCATTATTTTCGACTCTACTCTGCTTACAACACAAACACACACGCACAAAAAATAGAGGGACTACCAAATTGCTCATTAACAGTCTAAAGAAGGTGCTGTATGGATAGGCAATCAAACAGTACAAAAATTAATTCTCTAGAAATGATCTTTGTATTGTATACTAGCTATGGATAAAAGGCTAAAACCTTTCTGAAAAAAATTGTTTTTTGTACTGTATTTTACTCACTTAGGCTACCAGTGTTACAGATTTATACATTTAAATAAATAAATAATAAACAAGTGTATACAAATATGTATAACAAATATGTAGGCACTGGGCGGCTTCAGCTTTATATAACTACAGAAGTGTGTGTGTGTTATGTAACTAAGGCTTTGTTATTGGTGTGCAGGGGGAGGTGTGTGCTAGCAAACACTATAGGCACGCGTGTCAGATAAACAGCTGCTTGTGATGTTAATAATCACGCTGTTTAAACGAGCAATTGCCGAACTGACGTGCAACTAAAGCCATATTAATCGTGAGAATTAACACAATAAAAAAAATGAAAAAAGTGGAAGGAAATACCACGGAATCCCAGGACACACTATTTCCACAAACGATTAAACACACTGAAAGATGGTATCACATTACTATGAGAAAACAATATATAAAAAACTACAATTAGCACTCTAAAATAAAAAATAAACCTGGTGTAGCTATTGTTTACTCAGGCACGTCGCTTCCTCATACACAGAAAAGCGTAGCTAAAGATATTTAGCCTAGCTAGCTACACAACTGGTAGATCACCCCGCAAAATAACAACTTTACCTTCCTTTGGTTTTACTTTATAATTATGCTTTTTGGTCTACCAAATTATACTTTATATCAGAGAACATAATCGTAATCAATTTTGAAGTTTTCGGCTAAAAAGAAATAATGTAAGCTGCACTGCTAACAAACAGCCCCTCAGGAAAGGGTTAAATATTTAAACTGTTCCTACACGTGTAACTTCACCCACACGGGCCTGCACATATTTATACACACAGGAACTCATCTATCGGATCATTTATCTAGGGAATAACTGGCATCATACTAACTGAGGTCAGACCTCAATTCTGCGTCAAAAACGACCCGATCTTTACCGTCAAAGTGAGCATTTTAACCAACGTTCACGAGTTAGCAAAACTAGCTTAGCATAGCAGACACACATGGTGCCCAAAACAGAAGCAGCAGATTCAGAGCAAACTAAAACTGTATTATACACCCAAACCAAAAATGCATTATAAACCCAAACTAAAGCTGCACGATGAATCAAACCATTATAAACACATTATAAACGAATGCTGCATGCATTATAAACCAAACCAGAGCTACATTATGAACCAAACCATTTAGCTAGCTAGCTATAAATCCTGCAGAGCTGCATTTTGTCAAAATAGAGCTGCAACATAAACTAAACCAGTGCAGCATTATGAAGCAATCTACAGCTTCATAAAAAAACACACCCTGTAAACCCTGCAGAGCTGCATTATTCACTAAAACAGCAATGCATTATCAAGAGAAACGTTCCACAGCCGCATTTTAAACCTAAGCTAAACTAAGGCTGCAAGACCAATGTGTTGCTACAACACTTGCAAAGCTGGACTCAAAAGAAAACTTCCCTGCAAAAACCAAACCAACTTCTATTAACCTAAACCAGAATTGCATTAAACCCTACAGGTTCCCAATGCATTATATCACAGCTGCATTGTTAGCCTATATACTCCCAAAAGCTGCATTAAACCTCCACTTCCCCATTAGAGTTAGGATATAAGCTCTTTACTTTTCCAAACTACAGCTGCATGCCCTCTTCACTTTTAGTTTATTGTAACCTATCGGTTCTCACCATCGGCCTTAACAGCAGCGGAGCTCCACTGTTCTACTTCAGCCGCCATCGCGCTGCTCTAACCGGTCTGCCAACGGAGCTCAGCCCGGGGACGGTGGAGGTCTAGAGTCTGCACTCCCACACTTATGCCTGCCGTGAAAACACACCAGATATTCACTTCCAGTCAAACATGAAATGCATAAAAGAGAGCAGAAGCACATCAGTGTTTTCGTTACTGTTCTACTATTCTGAATGAATTTGCACTGCTCACCACTCTCACAGGAGCGTGTTAGCTTTAGCTTCTTTTCGCCCAAAATATAACAAGAATGTTTATATCACAAGCTAGACAAATATGTATGATCCTCTTTGAAAAAGTGGAATTTGATTTATATCGTTGTAATCCCGTCTGTAACACCCACTAAGTACGCGGAATGAAGTGTAGCAGCTGCAGGTAAACACACTGTTTTTAACTTTAGTGCGCGTCACGTGGCTTCAGTGAAACGTCGGATTGGCTGCCAGAGGGGCGGAACCGATACGGCGTTGTCCAATCAGATTTCAATACTGACCGCAAAAGCAGTTTAAATCACAGCGCGATACACCAAAATACACTCATTGTGCGTATTAACAGGTTTAGGTTTATCACATAGCAGCACTCTGTAGTTCTTCAATTACAGTTTGTCGTTCATCTGCTTCTCTGCATAATTTGTTAGCCCCCTTTACCCCGTTCATCAGGACCACCAGAGGTAGGTAAGTTAGTGTAGCCTGAAGTTAAATGCTAGACTCAAGTTAAAAGATTGATACTTGGGTAAAATAATGACTCAAGTAAAAGTGCAACAACTTGTGTAAAAAAGAAAAATATCAGGTCGGTAAAACAACCTACTTAAATACTGAGAAACACACAGAACCACAATGGAACACTGTAATTCCAGGAACTGAAGTAAAAATAGGAACTGAAGATTGAAGGCTCCGTTCTTCTCTTTTTGGGTCTAAAATTCTCTTATTGGTCTAAAATTATATGCTAAGAGGTGGGTAGAGCATACAGAGCCAACACATTGTGTGTCCCAATGGCACACTTTTAAATCTAGCGTCCTTGAGGACGTCCTCTTGCTATCTGCATACAGGGGGACATCACCACATGCAGTCTTGGAGGAGGACTGCATTGCTTAGGGCACTATTTGGGACAGGACTAAACCCATATACCCTGATCTGTCCTCATCTGTATGTCAATAAATTTTGGATAAGAGGCTGCTGCTGAGTCCACTGGTGAACCTCATGTCCTTAATCATTTTCCCTTGTTTTCTTTTCCTCTTTCCTTTCCTTACATCTTAGCGCCTTCCTTTGTTATCAGAATTATGGTAAACATGAGTTCCCAGCTCATAAGTTGCACATGAACAACTCCAGTCATAATTTCTAGTGGGAAAATCATTCATATTTGAGTTCTCAAGTTCAGGCGACCTGCAACCTTTCAACCTGACAGAGAAGAGGACAGGTTCAATACTGGATGGTTTGTAATTCTTTATTTTTAACAGTGCACCCGTTGTTAATGGTTGTTTGGGTAATTTTTTAAAATCTGTAATCTATGTGCATTTAACTTGTTTTATCCTCTTCTTCTTCTAGCATGTGCATTATGGAATCAAAATAGGATTTCCCTGAAAAGCGGTTGAGAACAAACCTTGCGCCTGACATTTTTCATTGGGCTCGGGCAACAAAGCACTTGAACATGATGTACTCATAATTCCTATTTCACAAGTGCGAAGTAGGGTCTTCTGACTAGGCAGCATACGATGCAAGGACAGAGGAGTCGATGGCATTTTCTGTCGATAATAAACATTTACATTGTATTATAATCTAATGCTACAACATTCTTTTAGTGCAGTTTAATTAGCTTTCCTTTGGCAGTACCATCCCATGAACTGTAATAATCCAATGACTACACAAGGTGGAGGCAGAGAAAATACGTCACACGTTGTGTTAAAAAGACTTCCGTGTAGGGTGTTTCCTCGCTCTGGAAACCTCCTTGATTCCTCCAAGTGCATTTACAGAATTGAAACATTCTTAACGATGGCAGAGTATTGGTTTCCAGGTCACAGGCTCGAGGAGGCAGCAATTAGAGATATAAAATGCACCGATAAGGTCACATAGAAAGTGCTTGTGAGCACCATTTTGAACTCCAAAATGAGAAATGACAAGTAGTCATCAGCACCCCTCCTGGAGATTCCTTTCCTTTACTTTAGCTCCAGCCCTAATCAACCCGTCCTGAACCATCTAATTATTTCTTTCTGCAGGAACGTAGATCTCCAAGAGCAGGGTTTTTGACCAGTACTCTACGGCATCACAGTCCTCATGGGCACAGGCAAATGAGGACAGTATTGAGGCAGTGACCTCAGGCCACATATTTGACCTCTGTAGTAGAGGGTATAGAGCCTGGTGTATTGGCCTGCATCATTCATACCCCTCATAGACCCCAAATAATATAAGTATTATAATGTAAAATGTAATAATGCCATTAAATACAAATAAATAAATAAATTATTTGATATGATTTTGATGGCTTAGTCTTTTATGAAGCTCTCTTTGAGGAAGACACAGTTACCATCCAGTGCCTAGTTGGGCTAATAAATCCTTCATTAAATTAAAACAGGTGTGCTGCTGATGGAATTTAAGTCCATGCTGAAGTGCACAGAGACATCAGGAACCAAACCTGTGTTCTTTTAATTGTAGTCTTCTAACCAGCATATTAATAACTTCACTAAAGAATCAAACATGCTTATGTTTTATTATTCTGTTTATTTGTATTTATTTAGCATAATGTAGTACTTTTATTGGCAAAAACAGTAGATACTACTGGTAATACATTAGATCACTGCTACATTGTTTTAAAGGAAGCATAACCCTCTGTTCCTCACATTGCTTTGGGTCTCTCTAATCACTGCCTAGTTCATCTTCTTCCAAACTGCATGGTAGAAACTAAAATCTGCTCAACATGTGGTTAGTGCTGTAAAGAAGTGGACAAATTAGGCAATGAACAAGCTACAGGACTGTCTGGAACATATTGACTGGGGTGTGATTGAGTATGCGCTCCACTGTATGTGCAGTCGGCATTATTTCTCTCTCTTTTTCTCCGTCCCTTCCTGGGTAGGATCTCGTCGTTTTCTTATACATTGCTCTATTCTATATCACAGAACTCGTTCAGCAGTGTGTTAGTTAGAAGGAGAACTCACGCTTTTCACCTTCATCACCAGAACGTCTCACAGTGAAATGCTGATGTTAATCTCCTCTTTTCTCCTAAGGGGCGTTTAGGAGAAACAATTCAGAAATCAGTGATTCTTCATAAATATAATATTGAGATCTGCTATATTACAATGTTAAGAAATATTTTTTCCCTTTGAAGAGTTGCTGAGTTCAAAAGTGGTACATTTTGTTTTCATTCAGTAGTAATGATTAGTTGTTATATGCTGTGTAACCATGCAGGGTGACCAGCTAAACCAGCACTACACCGTCAAAGACCCACATAAACCAGCACAGAATTCATGCTGGTATGTGCTGTTTCTTCAGCAGGGATCATAATGCACAAGTCTGTAAACTTCAAGCATTTTTTAAGTGAAAACTTACATTCATTATTAGTTTTTGTTACCGAGGCTGAGTTTAAAATGATGATATAGCTGAAGTTTTATTTATGTATAAATATGTTTATGCAGTTCTGTTCACAGCCACACGATGGCATACAAATATCTACAAAATGGCTTCCAATCCTCTCTGATGAAACCTCACTGTAAAGTCGTCTTTAAAGTATAGAGATTTAAAGAGCTGGTGAATATAATCATACTTTCCACCACAACAAGCAACTCCAGTGACTTAAAAAGGAATAATGATTCAAAAATCTGAAATGAAAACGATTATGCCCCAGTCACAGTGAGCCATCCAGGAATTTCTCAGAAACGTTTACACATCTTCACCCACACTGTGTACCACTACGCAGGCCTTTTCCAAGATTTTTAAAAAATTGCTTATTATTAAATAAGTTATATTATTAAATTAGTTACAATGTAGACATTTAACCCCACAAAAATAAATATGACAACTGCTGTTGATATTTTGCAAAAATAAAATATTTATATCAAGCTTATTGATTGTTCTGGGAAAATGTTCTGTTCATACTTTCAGTGCAGGTATAAGTGATCAGAAACTATTTTAATATTTTGTTTTTAGCAGTTTAGCTCAATTTACCCCCCTTCAATGAGAACTTGCTCGCGGGCGCCCTCTGGCGTTTTGCTTTCCTGTTTTTGATACAACGGGGAAAGTAGGAAGAGGCCACGCCAGAGAACTTGTAGAGAGAAGACTTAACACTCTGCAATGCCATTCCTGGGAAGTGGCCAGGCTCCTCATAAACCGGCTCTGGTAATGCAACAGCCCTTAAGATGGCGCCAGGAATCCAGGGGAAATGATGAGGCCAAGGGGACAACAGCTTGTACATACCGCTTCTGGCAGGTTAATGTTTTTAATGTAACAGTATTCTGAATTGAGCTAGAACAGAGCACACAATGTTCTCAGACTGTATTGAACATTTGAGCTGTAAACAAAGCCATTCAGAGTAGTTTGATGTGGAATGGTTCATTGTAGTGAAACTTCTTTACAATGGTGGTGACCACGGCTTGCAATGTCTACAATGCAAAATAGCCATTTTTTTGCCGTCCATAACCACCAGTGACCCTACACTTGTATTCTAAGTTGTTGTATGTAATGTTAAAATTGGTAAAATAGTGGTAAATCTGAAAAAAAAGCTTTTTCTTTGGAAGTTTGAACTATTTCGCCTTACAACGCTCTTCACATACCTATCTGCTATTAATGGGCTTTAAAAATATGTTTTGGGCCAAAACCTTTTAAAAAATTTCATAACACAATGACTCCAGCATCAGGCAGCGTATTAACAATTCCATATAATAACTTTCTTTGAGGGAACTTATAGTATGTTAATGTAGAACAGCACATTTCACACCCAACCTATCTGAATGTGTTTTTTACATTTTAATCATTTATAATTATAAAGAATGGAATTCCCCTGCAACCACAATCTCTAAACTGCTGAAAAGTCACAGTGCAGCCACTCACCTACCAGCTTTGCCCTGGCATCGTGAAGCTTCGCCCTTAACCACTAGAAACAACAAACGTTTATTCCAAGGAAGTTATGTAGTAAAAAAAACGTAAAACTACACAAACTGTAGTCCTGGCTGTGTAAGTGAAACGTTTAGTGCAGTCTGGGCACATTATAGATACAACATTTACAGTAAGGCTGGGAAATCTTTTAGAAGCAATGATGTCAGAGACCTTGAAAGTTAATTAAGCAAGGTAATGGGGTCAAGCCATTTTGAAATAATGTGAAACAATAATGTCAAATTCAGCCAGACACAGACAAGGCAAGGCAGGTTTGTTTTATAGCATATTTCATACACAAGGACAATTAAACAGGCATTACAGAACATCAAAAATAAAGACAAAATGCTTAAGAGTGAAAAACAATACAATTAGGCCTCATGAGGTGAGTCAGAAAAAAACGAACTGTTAAATGTTGTGGACCACGTAAGCTTTTGTTGTCGTTTGTGTTGACCATGAGTTGCAAAAGTTTGTGAACCCCTGATAGAACTGTTTTATTCTTTTTGAATGTTTTTTGATATTCAGTAATAATAGAAAAAAGTTCAGTTTCCAATTTACCCCCTTTCACTGGATGAATGACTATAATAATACAAAAGATCTGTAGGGTATTTGTGAATCTTTGGGATGACAGTGTTAGCATTTAACCTCTAAGACAGTCAGTTAAACCTAGGATAACCAATGCACTCATGCCTTACACTTGCCTTTTCCAGGACCCTAAGCAAGGAAGATGATACAGTTATTCTTTAATGTACAACAAAACCTCTATGACATTTGTCAGTTCTTGAGTTGATTAAACTCAGGATACACACTTTTGTCAACAATGTACAGACTGTTGGATTAACCTTGACAAACAGTAAAAATAATTGAATAGACTAAGAAAGTGCTAGTAAGATAGAAAGTGCAATAGCTTAAAGAAATAAAAGAAAATAAAATGGAAGTACAGACAAGGGCGATTCGAAATAAAGTTGTCTTATTAAAAGTGCAAAGCTCAAAATAAAGTACATTGGGAAATTCAGTTATAGGCATTTGAAAAGAGAAATGTTTGAACGAAGATTTAAAAATCTCTACATTTGGGGCACATCTAAGGTCTGCTGGGACTTCACCATGTTTAATTTGGACTCTAGTCTCTACTAGCTGACAAGAATGCATGGATCTAAGAGAGCTACATGGTTTATGTTCTTTAAAAATATCATAGATGTATTCTGGGCCTGAACCCTACAGTGATTTATATACTAGCAGCAGCACTTTCAAATCTATTCTGTAACTAACTGGAAACCATTGTAAGGATTTTAGAAGTAGAGTAACATACTCTGTCCTCTAGTTCCAGAGAAACTGTGGCCATAGGCATTCTAAATGAGCTGTAGCCATTTAATGTTTTTTTGGGGAAGTCAAGGTAGTAGACCATTGCAGTATATCAACCCATATATATCAACCAGATATAAAAATATGGATGAGTTTGCCTAGGTCTTGTAAGGACACCAAACATTTGATTCTGATTACATCTTTAAGATGATAGAATGCAGTGTTAGTGATTGCTTTACGATGATTAGTGAAGGTGAGATCTGAGTCTATTAGTATGCCAAGCTTTAGAACTTGGTCTTTGGTTTTTAGACCCCCCAAAATTATGTGTGCTGTGCACTAATATTAAGTCTCTTCTCTTTGTTGCCAAACACAAAATCTCTTTTGTCCTTATTTAATTTAAGAAATATTTGCTGTTGCTGTTCCATGCATTGACACCATGAGTCTGTTGGACTGTAATCATCTGCTGAGAGAACCAAGTATATCTGTGTAACATCTGCAAAACTATTTGTTGCAAATCAGCTGCAACGGGGTGAAAAAAGTTTTTTAAAAGTCAGACGGCAATATATTGAGACAACATGTTAACATGTTAAACTGTTTCCTCAAGAGTTTTTGTCAGTTAGATTAATTTGTGACCTAAAAAGGCTATGTCTAGGTGCTCATAGAGATGGCATAGTTTCATTATTTGACTGTGTGGTGTTGATGGTGAATCTAACAGTTTGGATTTTTTTCATTAAAAACAAATTCATTACATTTCTGTGGAGTTCTGAGGTTGTAAGCCTGTCAGCCATGACAAATAGAGTGACACCAATGGAGGCTAGCAGCTGCTGTCCTAAGAGTGTGTGTGTGTGTGTGTGTGTGTGTGTGTGTGTGTGTGTGTGTGTGATGATGTCATGCTGTGTGACAGGCACTGAGTCCCACTATTCACACACATCACTCGCTCCACTGTTTCCGCGTCAGCTGCAGTGCGTGTGTGATTTGAACTGAAAATAATTGAGTGATGGTGACTCATAAACCAGACAGACAAAATTCAGTCTTTAGGATGAATACTAGTATGTTTTTTGCTTGCCAGGGCACAAGTGATTAGTTATGTGATAGGTTTAATTCTCTAAATGCTTTATTCATTAAATATTGTAGCTTGCTTGAGAAATGTGTTCTACATGTTTTTATAGGTTATTTGTTTTCCAGCAGTTATTCTCTGAGTTATTCTGTTAAGGACTCTTATTGTGAAGGCGGGGATAGCTGCGGAGGTGTGTTTATGCATAGTTGAGAAGTAGCCAGTCAGTCAGTGCTGGAAGTGAGAGACTGCAAACGAGAGCTTAGTGTAGAGCGTGCTGTTAGCTAAAGCCTTACTTATTGCACAGTGTGGCTCCTGCCGACAACTGTCGTTTAATAAAGCACAACGACTTGTGCATAAGCTGTGTGTCTCCTTTAATAGCGGTAAACCCTATAATATTATTTATAAAACAATATTTTCCATCCTAAAATCTGGTTGACTGATCTGCATTTTAAGCTGTAAAATACTATATATCACACACCTAATCCTAGTTCATCAAATTATAGACCCTTGGCACAAATGTTTGATGGAACCCTATCTGGAAACTTTTTTCCCATGTTCAGGAAAGTTTGCATGACATCACAGCAAGTTACCTGAGATCTGTGCACTACAAAGCTGTGGGCTTATAGCAAACAAAAGTAAAACCAGGTTATCTAAATGTATCATCATCTCTCTCCAACCACTTCTCTATGCTCCCTTCACACTGCTTGAAGAGCATGTGTATCTACAGTGCATTGTGGATTTAAAATATATTATTAATTAAATTAACCTACCCAAGTGAACAGCAGTCCTAATAATAATAATAATAATAATAATAATAATAAAAGCCTAAAGTTTAATGATTTATAATGAATTAATGAATTTTTCTATTTACACTCAAACTGTGTGAAACTGCACTCCCAGTAAGTATAGAAATTGAAATCTAAATAGACTGCACCTAATCTGGCATTATTAGGCTAATACTGTTATTATCTTCTTGTCCATTTCATCCAGAAGGGACTGTGTTCATCTGCCCCTTGTTGCCTAGAGACAATAGAAAGTTGCCAGACAGCACAGTTTCCAAAGGACACGACAGAAACAAGTAAAAACACCAGCACACCTATGAACCTAAACAGTGGAGCATCCTAAACTAAAACATACCGCTATGGTGGGCATGAAAAATGTTTATGCCCCATATATATCTTACCATTGATAACTTTAACTTATGATATTTTTTAAATATATTGAGCTTCAAGCTCAAATTCAGAATAAAGTCCAAGGAAATTTTGGCTAAAAAACTGAAAGCTTGACCAAGGTAATGGTGAATAATAAAATTATTGCTAAGCAGTGACTGGAGCAGAAAATGAAGCAGATGCTCAATAATGATGTGGAGAGCGTCAGGATTTTGATTGAGAATAATACAAGGTTGAAATGTTTTCCACTGTGCTGCTTGTTCAGTTCCTGCTGGAAATCAAGGCAGCTGTTATAATTTTATGGCCCCTAGCCAGTAAAACTTATGGGATGATCTGGGCCTGCACACTCTGTCGTATGACCGCCTCACAAAAACTGAATTTTGTATTAATGCTTCAAATCACTCCATTGTGCTGTGAATGCTCAGTTATGCAGCTCTCATAGAAGACCTAGTGGACAATAAAATAAAATACAAGATGCAGAATGTAGAACACGGACCCTTTACAAGAAACTGTGTGTCTGGTTGACCAGTGACTTGGTTGTTGTTTGCTGGAATCTCATTTGTTGTTTTCATGAGGATTCCATAGTGACAACAGAGTCCTCACTCCTTTGGTTTTTGGAGGCAGAACCATGATGGTTGCAGTCTACAGATGGGAGCTCTGACTGGTCAGACCGATTTTGGCGTGAGCAGTCCACACTGTCATGGACGAGCCCAGCCCCACCCCCTATGGCACTCACTTCAGCCTCTTCAGTATCATCATCGTCTTCCTCCTGAATAACCCTGCAGCGACAAACTTCAATGCCGGAGTCACCTGTCAGAGTGCGGAGACGGAAGCTGTTCTCCTTCAGGTCCTCTTCATTGGCTCGCCCCTCAATCTCCAACACACAGACACTGGAGGAAAAAACAGTGTGTTTAAGAACAGAGGGAGTTACTCTGGGACTCTCCTCAACACCACCTTCTGCATTTAAGCTATATTCCATCCCCTTTGGGTGTGGCAGTGGTGGTGACACAGAGTCAGACTGTTCATGGGTGGTCTCTTCTACCAAAGGGGGCAGAGCCAGGCCTAAACAAGAAGTGTCACAAGTGTCTCCAGAGTCACTGGGCGTTGTGGCACTGCTGGTTAGCAACTCATCTGTTGGAGCAGAGGAGGAGAAGAGAGAGATAGACCCAGAGGAGCAGGAGCTGAAGGTCCCCAAGCTGTGTGAGGTGGGCAGAGTGCCACCATGCAGGCCATACGCAGCACTGTATGAGGGGGGAAGACCTCTGGAGTCAGATGCCGCCTCCTCATAGGATGGCAGCTTGGAGAGAGCAAGATAACCTGGAAAGAAACAGAGTCTGTGTGCTTCATTGTCTGTTATCCTCACAGCAAACTTTAACCACAAAACACGTCTTGGCTGATCAGCTACAAGAAAAAAACTTGTTTTCTGTTGGTGATCTTGAAATGTTCTATGGGAGATTTATAGGTGATCTGTGAAGATTTATAGAGCATCTACTGATGATCTATGAAAGACCCGTGAGCGATTTATAAGTTTTCTAGGGTGGGAATCTACAAAAGGTGTGCAGGAGATGCTTGTGTGATGTATATAGGGGTCTGTGTAGGATCTATCAGGAAGCTTTGAGTTATCTACTGAAACTCACCTGACAGTGTTCATGATGCTGCACCACACAGAAAACAGCATGTCTATTGTATTATATCAACATATTAACTGAAAGCATGTTTATTGTATTATATCAACATATTAACAGATGTTTTTAAAGCACCTAGGGTTAGGGTTAGAGTTATGGTAGGGTACAGTGCTATCAGTACAATGCTTCAGACTAAAAGGATGTCTAAATTTATTATTATACAAAACAAGCTGCTTTGCACTGTTGCCTAAGAGCACATCTGCATAAGGCGTGGATTAATGTTAAAAGCTAAATAGTATTAAATGTTAATTAACATTATCGTTGAAGTTTGCCGCTTTATGGGCCTGTTGCTAAAAAGCTGCGCATTTGCTTTTCTATAAAAGTAAAGAGTTGAATGCTAGTCCTGAGTTCTGATGAAAGATGACAGGATGCTTAATAGTATTTTTAAACACAATCAATTCAATCAGAAAAACTAGCCACTTAGGCTTGTACTTTAACAACTGCTATACTGTATTCAACCATTATCCACAATTATTTATATGGGAATTAATTGTCTGCTAAAAATAAATGATTATGATTGACCTAGTGATCTATGGGGGTCTGTTGAGGATCTGTGGGTGACCTGTAGGGGATTCCAAAAGTTTGCTGGATTAGAAGCCTGTTGACTTTAACTAGAACACATAACAAGTTACATCTAAAGAGGGTGTGAGCTAATTGTTTATGCACAGTGCGCACTGCTTTGTGGATCAGTGTGTGTAAATGTGAGAGTGTATGTGTGTGTCTTACTGAGCAGAAGGTGAGGAGGTGTGTATCTGCAGGCTCTCTGATACACCATGAGCTCGATCTCTCTCTGCCGCTGCTGCTGGAGACGGAGCTTCATCCGTCTGTGTCTGAGCACGCAGCAGCAGCTGAATACAATCAGAATGGTCCAGAGTAACCAGAACCCTGCAGAGAAATACACATTTATTTTAATATCAGTATATGAGGTCACATCTACCTGTAAGTACCTATAATGATATGTACATAATATGTATTTATAATAATATATAATAATAACTAATAATTAAAGTTAATTCAAGTTATGGAATGTGTATTTCATCTACTGAGAAGTTACCATTTTGGATATGATGTTCTTGAGGTTTTTGTCTGACACCTATGATGAGAACCTGTTTGTAATTTATTACAAACCATTTATTATTACTGTATTTTATACATAATATTAGTGTGCCCTATATATATATATATATATATATGTATATGTGTGTGTGTATGTATATATATGTATGTATATATATGTATAGTGTTTGCCACCTTCCTGATTTCTTATTCTTTTGCATGTTTGTCACACTTAAATGTTTCAGATCACCAAACAAATTTAAATATTTGGAAATTTTGGAAAGCTGAGTTCAATTTCCCTAGCCACACCCAGGCCTGATTACCGCCACACCTGTTCTCAATCAAGAAATAACTTAAATAGGACCTGCCTGACAAAGTGAAGTAGACCAAAAGATCCTCAAAAGCTAGAGATCATGCTGCAATCCAAAGAAATTCAGGAACAAATGAGAAACAAAGTAATTGAGATCTATCAGTCTGGAAAAGGTCATAAAGCCATTTCTAAAGTTTTGGGACTCCAGCGAACCACAGTGAGAGCCATTATCCACAAATGGCGAAAATATGGAACAGTGGTGAACCTTCCCAGGAGTGGCCAGCTGACCAAAATTACCCCAAGAGCGCAGCGACGACTCATCCAAGAGGTCACAAAAGACCCCACAACAACATGCAAAGAACTGCAGGCCTCACTTGCCTCAGTTAAGGTCAGTGTTCATGACTCCACCAAAAGAAAGAGACTGGGCAAAAATGGCCTGCATGGCAGAGTTCCAAGATGAAAACCACTGCTGAGCAAAAAGAACATAAAGGCTCGTCTCAGTTTTGCCAGAAAACATCTTGATGATCCCCAAGACTTTTGGCAGAATATTCTGTGGACTGACGAGACAAAAGTTTAACTTTTTGGAAGGTGTACGTCCCATTACATCTGGCGTAGAAGTAACACAGCATTTCAGAAAAGGAACATCATACCAACAGTAAAATATGGTGGTGGTAGTATGATGGTCTGGGGCTGTTTTGCTGCTTCAGGGCCTGGAAGACTTGCTGTGGTAAATGGAACCATAAACTCTGCTGTCTACCAAAAAATCCTGAAGGAGAATGTCTGGCCATTTTTTCGTGACCTCAAGCTGAAGCGCACTTGGGTTCTGAAGCAGGACAATGATCCAAAACACACCAGTCCACCTCTGAATGGCTTAAGAAAAACAAAATTAAGACTTTGGAGTGGCCTAGTCAAAGTCCTGACCTGAATCTGATTGAGGTGCTGTGGCGTGACCTTAAAAAGGCGGTTCATGCTCGGAAACCCTCCAATGTGGCTGAATTACAACAATTCTGCAAAGATGAGTGAGCCAAAATTCCTCCACAGCGCTGTAAAAGACTCATTGCCAGTTATCGCAAACGCTTGATTGCAGTTGTTGCTGCTAAGGGTCCAATATTTTATCTTTGTCCAATATTTAAATTTGTTTGGTGATCTGAAACATTTAAGTGTGACAAACATGCAAAAGAATAAGGAATCAGGAAGGGGGCAAACACTTTTTCACACCACTGTGTGTGTGTATATATATATATATATATATATATATATATAAAATACGTATAGGGCATACTAATATTACGTATAAAATACATGACTGTGAGTGGTATTATTGAGAAGTGGAAGCATTTAGGAACCACAGCAACTACATAAAGTTACAGAGCAGGGTCGCTGAGTGCTGAGGCGTGTAGTGCATAAAAGTTGCCAGCGCACTGCTGACTCAATAACTACAGAGTTACAGACCTCCTCTAGCATTAACGTCAGCACAAAACCTGTGTGCCCGGAGCTTAATAGCATGGGTTTCCGTGGCCGAGCAGCTGCATGCAAGCTCTACATCACCAAGCACAATGCCAAGCGTCGGATGTAGTGGTGTAAAGCACGCCATCGCTGGTCTCTGGAGCAGTGGAAACGCTTTTCTATCTGGCAGTCTGATGGACGGGTCTGGGTTTGGAGAATGCCAGGAGAACGTTCCTGCCTGACTGCATTGAGCCAACTGTAAAGTTTGGTGGAGGAGGGATAAAGCTATGGGGTTGTTTTCAGGGGCTGGCCTAGGCCCCTTAGTTCCAGTGAAGGAAAATCTTAATGCTTCAGTATACCAAGACATTGTATGCTTCCAACTTTGGGGAAGGACCTTTTCTGTTCCAGCATGACTGTGACCCAGTGCACAAAGCATCATTCATAAAGGCATGGCTGGGTGAGTTTGGTGTGGGAGAGCTTGACTGGCCCTCACAGAGCCTTGACCTCAACCCCAGTCGAACACCTTTGGGATGAACTAGAACAGAGATTATAAGCCAGGCCTTCTCATCCAACATCAGTGTCTGACCTCACAAATGCTCTACTGAATGAATGAGCAAAAAATTATTACAGACCCACTCCAAAATCTTGAAGAAAGCTTTCCAGAAGAGTGGGAGCTGTTATAGCTGCAAAGGGGGGACCAACTCCATATTAATGCCCATGGATGTAGAATAGGATGTCATAAAAGCTCCTGCAGGTGTAATGTGTAGGTGTTGTAATACTTTTGTCTATATAGTGTGTGTGTGTATGTATATAAATATATATATATACACCGATCAGGCATAACATTATGACCACCTCCTTGTTTCTACGCTTATTGTCCATTTTATCAGATCCACTTACTATATAGGTGCACTTTGTAGTTCTACAGTTACAGACTGTAGTCCATCTGTTTCTCTGCATACTTTGTTAGCCCCCTTTTACCCTGTTCTTCAGTGGTCAGGACCCCCATGGACCCTCACAGAGTAGGTACTATTTGGGTGGTGGATCATTCTCAGCACTGCAGTAACACTGACGTGGTGGTGGTGTGGTACGAGTGGATAAGACACAGCAGTGCTGCTGGAGTTTTTAAACACCTTAGTGTCACTGCTGGACTGAGAACAGCCCATTAACCAAAAATATCCAGTCAACAGTGTCCTGAGGGCAGCGCCCTGTGACCACCAATGAAGGACTAGAGGATGATTAGCTTATACTGTACAGCAAGCGGTGAGCTATTGTCTCTGGCTTTACATCTACAGGGTGTACCAACAACGCAGGTGCGTCTAATAAAGTGGACAGTGAGGGGACACAGTGTTTAAAAACTCCAGCAGCAGCAGCAGCACTGCTGTGTCTGATCCACTCATTCCAGCACAGCACGCACTAACACATCACCACCATGTCAGTGTTACTGCAGTGCTGAGAATGATCCACCACCCAAATAGTACCTGCTCTGTGAGGTCCTGACCCCTGAAGAAAAGGGTAAAAGGGGGCTAACAAAGTATGCAGAGAAACAGATGGACTACAGTCTGTAATTGTAGAACTACAAAGTGCACCTATACAGTAAATGGAGCTGATAAAATGGACAATAAGCGTAGAAACAAGGAGGTGGTCATAATGTTATGCTTGATCGGTGTATATATACGTAAGTACCTATATGTATAAGAATTAGAATTATATGGGGTGTCCCAAAAAAATTGACATCATTTGAGATGTGAATATCTGAGTAACTACATGTCCTGGGCAAACGAAATTAAATAGGCTTCATGTTGAACAATACAAGAATTATTTTTCAAAATTCGAGCAAGAAATTCAGAGGGATGTAGATTTTATAACTGATTTCACAAAGCTTCACAAATGTAATATCTTCCGATACTGGTGGTCGTCCAGATCCCTTTGCCCTGCACAGACAGCCTTCCTCTTTGAATTTTTTGTGCCATGTCCAAATCTGCTTTCTAGTTGATGCATGTTTATTGAATTTTCTCAAGAAATGCATGCTGCACACTCTTGTTTGACTGTGTTTGAGCATATTCTAACACACAAAATGCCTTTTCATTTCTAGTGAACGCCATTCTTCAACCTGAAAAAAAACCCATTAAAAATTAAACTTGGTTAGTTTTTATACATTTTGTTAAAATTTGAGATAATTTGAGGGAAAATTGGCCATGTTATTAGACTACGAAATGATGTTGGTTTTTCTGGGACACCCTGCATGTATTAGCCTTAAAATCTTTAGCTTAACTCTATCTTAACCTCAGGAATAAAAAGAAATGGTTTTGGTATTTCAGATTTAAAAAAATTAAACATGATTAAACATGGAACTTTTGTAAATACACACATACACACACCCACACATAAGCACAAAGGTTCATTTAATTTTCACTGAATCCAATACTCTTTTTTTAGAAATATGTAGAAATGTTTTTATTCATTAATTCATCCACCCGTTTATGCTCCCAGCCGGTGTGTGTGTATAAGTGCACTCACACCAGAACTCGGAGTACACATAGCAGCCTGTTTCCCCACAGCAGAGACCTGCCTCACACACACACGCTGGACTGCTGATCCCAGGACACGAGGTCAGGCTGGAGGAAAAGAGATCCTGTGAATTCACAAAAGTAAAACATTAAACACCATTTTATAGATACATTAGTTACATTATCTGTTTCAGGGATTTCTTATCCTGGCTTCACCCCAGCATGTTTTATTCATCCCAAGTATCGTATTTACAAGATGAGTGCACATGAACGCTAACACAGTGTCATATTTACAAGCACGCATAGTTTTAAACGGGTGGCTTCTGGGGTGGCCAATCAGATTTCAGAGGTACACTGGCCACTCGAGATGCCACCCCAAAATCTCTGCCGCCTTCTTGTCTTCCGCCTTGCTGTGGTGTGTGTGTGTTTGCATTTTTAAGAAGAGAGCAGAACGACTGTCCATCCTCTATCTACCTCCATTTTGTTTCTGACCAAAACCGCTTGAGGGCATGTAAAATGTCAGTCGTTGTTTAGGCTGCCCCTAAACCCACCCTAGCCCCGCCCCCACCCTTGGTTAAAGCCAGTTGATTAATCATAGCTTAACAACCTGTAACTATGCGCCTGTGGGTAAACTTACAACTTTGCCCAATGCTCCATCTTTGCTTCTGGGGATTTATAAATTGGTGTGAGTGTATTTTTTTACTTGTTTCCTACACCGAAGACACAAGAGAAGAAGGGGCAGTCGTGGGCTGGATGTTAGGGACTGGAAGGTCGCTGGTTCGATCGAAGGTCGCTGGTTCGATCCCCTCAGCCGATAGTATGTGACTGAAGTGCCCTTGAGCAAGGCACCTAACCCCAAATTTCTCCCCGGGTGCCATGGTTAGGGCTGCCCACCGCTCTGGGCAAATGTGCTCACTGCCTCCTAGTGTGTGTGTTCACTAGTGTGCATGTATGTGGGTATTTCACTGCATGGATGGGTTAAATGTAGAGGTCTAATTCCTCTGTGTGCAAACACAGATGGCCGATGGCTCTGAATTCAATTCAAGGGAAGTAGGATGCGAATTAAACAGTGCGAAACACCACAACCAATTAAACAAATCACGCAAAACACATATGGTATGGCTGGCCAGCAAAGTCCTTCTTTGTTAACTCTCTGAATTTAGAGTCAAATGCAAATAAATTAAATAATGAGATTAAATGAATATGAAATAGCGATAGGTTAAAAAGACACTTTCATTGGCATTATTCATTGCAGTGTTTTGTGAATGGACAGCCTAATTCTGAATAAATCCAGAATAAATCCTGTCAGGAGAGTAGAGAGGTGTTTTAAACTAGAGAGATTGTGATTAAACCCACAATGTGAGTCCAAAATACCATTGTGCTTTAAAGTGAAATAGAGAATAGCGATAGCCTGTGATAGCCTGATCATTGTTTGCTACCTTACTTAAATAACCCTGAAAGTATTTAACATCACATTATATGCATGTATTGCAATGGCTTAGTTCACTTTATTTACTTTATTTGGATAGACGGTAGGCTAATTGTAAATTAAGGTTAGATGTATCTTAGGTTAGATGTCACGCTGCGTTGAAGTGGAAATACCTAGAACACGTATTTTCAAGTGGAAAACTCACCATTCTGCAATATTTTAATTTACTAGATGTGACCTGGTGTTTGTCTATCTGATCTATGTGCTTTTTAATATGCTAAGAAAAAGCACAATACATATTATGTGCTTTCCTTTATGTGTAGTGGTCAAATCTTTCAACCCTGAACGTAAGCATAAAGCTTCCCCCTTATGCAGACAAATGAAACTCAAGTCCCATTCACACTAGTGGGAAGTTCTGGGCATTTGAACAAAAAATAGCAATTATTTTCCCCTTTTCCGTGATTACAGCTAACTTTGAAGGAAGCCTCTGGATGGCTGCAGCAGAACTAGTATGTTTCCTTCACTGGACTAAACAGATTATAACCTCTGACCAAAACATAACACCCAGGCTCCACAGTGTCCTGGAGTAAAGAGTTGCAATATCTCATGGTCCCTAAATATGAGAATGTATAACATTAGGAATAAGCTAAATTGCATTTTAAAATCCTAATCCTAACTTACTGGTCAATATTTTAAACGTTTATGACTGTTCAAATACTCAAACATTAAATTCGTTGATTTTACCTTGTTCACAGTTCCCATTTCTGCATCATCTGGAGCCACCGTCACCTACAAGTAAACCAGTCACCCACAAAACCCATTTAAACATTGAAGAAATCTTAAAGGTGTTCTTCTAAACTGAAGGCACAATGATGGTTTAATGCTGAAGCTCTGTATTCAAAGGCTCTATAGAGGCCACACACACTCACACACACAGTCCTACAGTGAATAGAAGCTTTGTTAAAAAGCTTTGCAGAGACTTAAAACAATAGTTTGCCCTAAGCAATGGCTTAGCGAAAAAGTTAGATCTACTAAAGGAAGACAACATTTTCCTTCTTTAGTCTTACACCTGACTTATTAGTCTAATGTAGCTAACAATTAATGAATGTGTACACCCCACCAATTCACATTGTAACTATGTAACTATGTACACTATGTAACAACTCAACATGGTTTGAGGCAAGTGTGTGTTGATTTAGGCATGTAGTTAGCACCATGCTAATTGGTGGGTTAAAAGCTTCCATTAATTCTTAGATACATTGGCCTCAAAGCTCCAGTGCAAAACTACTGAAGCACAGTTTAGTCTTTCTTTCCTAAATTTATTTAACTCTAAAATGGAGAAACACAGATGTCAGAGCTATGAGTCTTTTAGCTTTTACTAACATACTTGTTGTGTCCACGTCTCATATGAACATTAGTTTTTAAAACAGAATGAGAGACTATCAGGAGAACAGTGTTCACTACAGTCATTACAGTTTCTCTCTGCTTTCTCTCCAGCATGATTAAATAACAGCTCAAAAACAATAAACTAAATGTGCTAGTTTTCATAGTTTTGAAAAAAGCAAAACCTCTGTCCATTAAATCTATTATAACATAAAATATAATTAATTATATGTATGTAGCATTTTTTAGTAACCCAAAGATATTATATTATAGCATAAAGTAACAAATATTAATAACATTAACTGATTTAATAAATAAGTAAATAAATGCAGGCTCTAGAAGTGTGATTAACATTTATAAACTCACCTCCATGGTGTTACGCCTGAACACAGAAGTCCAGTTCTGAACTGAAGCTCTGTCTCCTCCATTATTCCCCATAACAAACTCATAAACACTCCCATCCCACCACCCAGTACTCAAACCACACCCATTGCATTCTGATTGGCTCACAGTTTGTCTTCTTGCAGTCCTGTTAACTGCTTTTTATATGTATAATGTACATACATCAAAGAGGAGTTCCACTCTTTTTTTATTTCTTCTGAAGTCAGTGGCTGAGATGTAAACAGTGTCATTCAGAGTGAATTTATGTGGTTAATGGGTATTATAGCCATTTATTTATCTCCAAAACTACCAGCATCATCTACACGTCTTGAGTTTTCATAGGTAATACTGATAATGGTAAAATAGTAATAAATGTGAAAAAAAGAAGTTTTCTTTAGGGACTATTTTGCACTACAATGTCCTCCATGTACATGTTCATCATGAAAGGATTATAGAAATACAGTTTAAATAAAAATCTTCTGGTGATTTCTGAAAGGTGCAGTGTTCAGTTTTAAATACAAGAAAGCAAACCAAAAATGGTTCCTCTACTGTTACAAGCTTGACATTATAAAAAACTCTTTTGGTGCCATATAGAATCCTTTTCAAAAAGGTGCAAATCATGCAAGGGGTTCTTTGAGTGTTCATGATTCTACATAGCACTATTTTACTTTACTAAAGCACTCTTGGAGAACCAGGAGGAGGGTTAGTGACCACTGCGCTAGTATCTGATCTTATCTACAAAGGACTAAATCCACTTGTTGAATAAATTGGCTGTTGCCAAACAAATGATTAGTTAAATGAAGTGCTCTGCTGCTTGGCTGGAAAGAAAATCAGCCACACCAACCCTTTGCAGTTAGAACTGATGACCACTGCGACAACGTGTGATAAGACTGCAATACTAATTCTATCCACGTGGAGGCAGAAAGCTACACAATGAAAAAGCATGCATAATCACAGACAGCAAACACCTGGCATCTTTAACCCTACAGTGTAGTGTTTCCCAACTCTGGTCCTAGAGACCCACTGCCCTGTACATTTTACTGCTTTCTCTGCTCCCAACACACATGCACTGGGCTGCATTAGTTTTGTGTAAGTTTGTGTTTGTTCATCTTTACTTGGTCCTGAATTAGTGCTTTCCAAGCTCTCAACACACCTGATCCAATTAGTCAGCTCATTAACATCCCTGTACAGAATTGAAGTGGGTTTGTTAAGACAGGGAACACTGTGAACTTATATTAGTTGACTTTACTTTAAAATGTTATGCAAACGTATTGGCTTGAAAAAGTTACTTAACAGGTTCATGCTTAAAAACTTTGTATATGAGTTATAGCTACTTTCTAATTTTCAGTGATTCACAGTTCTGCGGCAAGTAAGATACAGTCAGTATCAGTGGCAGTACTCTACTTTTTCAAGTTCTGCTCACTCTTGAATTAGTTATGCTCACTTGAATCAAATATTCTTCCTTGTATAATGTATTGGCATCAATTAAAACAACTCCATTATTAAATGTACTTTTTTGTACAGTAATGAATAAATGGCTTAGATAAGGCTAGAATCAGCCATATCTGAGGACTCTAATAGCTTAATGCATATTTGCCATTCTTTTGGCATTCATCGCTCCAGGCTGAACTGCTAAACCCAAACACAAAACATCATCATGATGAGAAAAACAAAAACATGTAAAATGCATCCAAACTTAACATTTAACATGAGATCATGCTATGACACAAAATAACATTTAACAAAGAGAATTATATTTATAAATTAGAAAAATAAGAGTTAATTAACAGAAACCAACAAAACCGCTAAGAATACTGGGAAGTTTTTGGGCATAAGACTCTTCAGTCGCCTCACAGTAAGAATGGCCTGGGTTCAATTCCCGGCCGGGTGACCAGGGTCATTTCTGTGTGGAGTTTGCATGTTCTCCCCGTGTCTGCGTGGGTTTCCTCCGGGTACTCCGGTTTCCTCCCACAGTCCAAAGACATGCAGTCAGGCCAATTGGACATGCTAAATTGCCCCTAGGTGTGAGTGAGTGTGTGTGTGATTGTGTATGTCTGTCTGTCTGCCCTGCGATGGACTGGCGACCTGTCCAGGGTGTATCCTGCCTTCCGCCCAATGACAGCTGGGATAGGCTCCAGCACCCCACCGCGACCCAGAAGGATAAGCGGTTTAGATGATGTATGTATGTATGTATAGATTTACCTCAGTAACCAAGGATTTTACAAGAAATACTAGTGTTACTAGTTAGTAATTAGTTAGTAATTACTACATTTTCCGGTGAAAGAACTAAAGTGTCCAGCTCCAGTGGGCTGGAGAAACGCTATCCATATTGACGCCAGGAGTCAGAATCTACTCAAGGTCACTTGATAGTAATAATGATTGAGTGTACACTACAGATGAAACTCTGACAAACCTAGCAACTGTTGGATAAAAAAAAAACATATACACACCTGCTACACATACATGAACACACACACACCTGTGTGTGGTAGAAAGGGGTTTAGCAATGACATCACGGCTAAAGGTGTGGTCAGTATTTATGGCCCAGTATCTGTACACCTAAATGGATGGAAAATACGCACGCATGCACACACACACACACACACAATAGAAGTGTTTACCAATCCTGGTCCTGGAGGCCCAGTGCCATTTTAGTTCTTACCCTCTTTTAACACACCCACAGCAGCTCAGCATGGAATTGTTAATGGGATGATTAGTTGGCTTTACCTCAGCATTACTTAAGTTCAGACGTAGGCTAAATATTCACACCTTCTCCTAAGCAAGTGCATGTGGGAAGGTGGGATGCTATGTGCTGTGATTTTACTTACAGCTTTATTCATCACCCTGGTTTTATCTCCAAGCATGAAGCTAGCCATAGCTTTAGTTGAGTGAGACTTTGCAGCTGCCAAAACATCTAAACTGATGCTGCTGTTTTGTGGTTAAACCATTGTTTAAAAAATGCTGCACATTTAGTTGTTGCAAAGAGGTATTAAAGAATTAACTTGTACAACTTGTACTCTTCTATACTGGATATTTTTTTTAATGGAATGCAAAAAGTTAGTGCAGCTTCCATTGTGTTTCCATGTTAGCGGATTTATAGGTTGGTTCTGGACACGTTACTGCCGTTTTAAAAGGACATACACATTTGTTTGTTATTACAAGCTAAGATATGACTTAAGGGTTGGTGGTGCAATTGGAGTTAGTAAAACAAACTAGTGTAGACTAAGGATTTAGTGAAGACAAATCTTTGCAAACTGGCACAAAAGCAGTAAAATGTACAGGACACTGGGCCTCCAGGACCAGAGTTAGGAAACACTGCACTAAAGGGTTAAAGCCAGGCATTTACTATCTGTAATCGTGTGTACTTTTTCACTGTGTAACTTTCTTCTTCCATGTGGACAGAGTTAGTAACAGAGAATTTGTAGTAAGCAAAATTTTCACTCAGTAATGTTTTTCTGTGTTTGTCAAATGCTAGAGGGTGCTCCCAAGTAAGTCCAAAATGAATGGGCTGATATGGAAAATATGAGCAAGATTATAGTTCATAAATGCTTGAACATTTTATATAGAAGAATGTATTCATTTCCTGAACCCAGAACTGCACAAAACATTTTAACACTGTGATATTTTTGAGCACTTTTGATCGTGAGTTATTGGACTTCATAATGGTGCCACATGTACATTCATGACATCAGTGAGCACAAACCATTCAGCCAATGAGCTGAGGTATGTTTTCTTTGCTTTTTAAGTGAAATATATACTTCTACTTTCCAAAAGTAAAGAAAGGTCTCGGATGAGTGGTTAGAACAGGAATCGGCAACCCAAATGTGTAGAAGAGCCATTTTGTCCTTTCAACAAAAGTCAAACCACTTGGCTGTAAACATATCTCACTATGTGCTAGTGTACTAGTATAGGCTAAAGATATAAACGAAAATCCAGATTTACTTTGCACTTTTAAGCTTTGGCTCAGCTATAGCCGCTTTTCTCGCATTTCCAACAGGAAAATTTTCCTCAAAAGTGGAATAGTTTCGTGTAAAGTGTCTCTCAACGTTCGATTTTTTAAATGGTGCCTGATGTGCCAGAATATAACTGCTGCACCATTTAAAGTGGAACCAGAAAATTCGAACAAGATGCTGGCGAACGAGAGGCTAACTTTAGCTTCACTGTTTCTCGCTGCAGATTAAACGTATCAGGAAACCATCTTGAATGCTTATAAATGCAAGTCCATTCATCTCAAAATCATCAATGTTAGTCTTAAATCTTTTTCTTTGCCTTTTCGTTACTAGCTAGGTGAGACTGTTGTCTGTGTTGCTGTGAGTTTGCATGCCAATCTTCAGGGTTAAAGGGTGAATTAGCAGTTATAAGCCACATTAACTTCAGCAATTAAGACCATTTATTGTTAAAACTGTGTTAGAACGATCAGCAGAAATTTATTTTACTGCAAAGGAGTAAAAACCTTAAAATCTAATTCTGCTGTGCAGTAAAAGAGTCACATGCAGCTCGGAGCTGCATGGTGCCGACACCTGGGATAGAAACTCTTTTTTTTTTGTATATGCTGGTAGGAATTTAATTAGACAATCTAATAAATAAATAAATAAATAAATATGCCAGTACCTGACTGTTTGGCAAGATAAAATTTTTTTGGGCTTTGAGATTTGTAATTAATACTTTAAAGGTCTAAATAAAATTATATATTAATAATAATTACTAAAAAGTATGTTTTTTCTCTTGGAACGATTCTGGACGTCAGGCAGGCCAGTTTAGGACCCTAACCCTTACTACAGAGCCATGCTGTTGTAATACATGCAGAATATGGTTTGACAATGTCTTGCTGAAATAAGCAAGGCCTTCCCTGAAAAAGACATTGTCTGGATAGCAGCATATGTTGCCAAAACACGTATATCATTCAGCATTAATGGTGCCTTCACAGATGTGTGAGTCACCCATGCCATGGGCACTAATGCACACCCATACCATCATGGATGCTGGCTTTTGAACTGTGCACTGAGAACAAGCTTGGTGGTCTTTAGGCTAGAGGACGCAGTGTCCCTAATTTCCAAAATG